TTTTGGCCCTAGCCTTCTAAGGTCAATTAAGACTCAGGACATATGAGAACTTGTGCTGTAACGTCATGTGCCTCGGTGGTGTCCCAGGTTTTCTAATCGGGAGGATTGTGGGGCCAAGGAGGAGGGTGGTCGATGGCGTGGAGTGGGCCTGGGGAGAGGACACTCTCTCAGGCTTTCACAGAGAGCACATTGGCCGGGCAGTGGCTGTGACTCATCCACATGGCTGCACTGATAAGGGTTCTGCTGTCTGAGGTACAGGATCTCAGGACAAATCCTGGAGGCATTTCATTGACCTTCTCAGACCAAAAAGCTGCAACTCTTGTTGCATAGGTCCTGCTTTGCCTTGGTCTTGACCATCCAGTAGAAAAGTATGAAGAAATAAAGCCATGCTGTTAAGCTGTGGGGGACTCAGGTCAATAATTTCTGACATTGCCAGTTAAACGGAAGACCCGATGCTCTTGTGGGCTGCTGGACTCTTTTGGAATATTTTGCTGAGTTTACACACCTATAATATTCAATAACTGAACTTGGGAAAAGTGGGGTACACCGATGGATGTCCATTCTGTATCTGTGTATTCGGGGTGGTTGGGATAGATATATGGTTACATTCTCTTGGTGAATGGAGTGATTTGTTCTAATGGTGTTTGTAAATGGGATCACAGGTCCGCATCTTGTACGGCAGTTGACCGCTGGGAATATATGCAGTGTATTATTTGTTGAGGCTGTGCTTCCGATTTGGTTTGAAATTGTCTCATTGCTATCTGTTTATCAATAAAACTGTAGAAAAAAAATAAAATAAAAGATAACAAAAAAGTGGAAAAAAAAATTAAAAAAAAAAAAAACTTTTTCATAGAATCCATTGCACATTGCAACATTTCCCTATGAAAGTCTAAAATAGCCAACAAAAACTATTCCACTGTGGGATAGTTACAGTGTTAACAGAGGAATTTAATTAAGACTTGGCTTTATTGTCCCACCCTTGTTTACCTTTCATTTCCTCTGGTAAATTTCCATTTTATTTTATTTTAACATATGATTGATTTGACTTATGCTATAGTATAATATACCAAAGGAACTGATCCAAATAATTTTATAAAGTGACATTTCTGTTTACTCTCTTCAACAATCAACTGGGGAGTTTTCTAGTACTTATTAACTAGAAGATGATTACAAGTGACAGTGACTAATTGCAAGTTTGTCTGATGTATAACTTTGTAGCCATCAAATGGTTAATACTGAAAGATTTTTTTGTTTATATTTCATAGAGTTACTGATTTCTAACGTGTCCTTTCTTTGTTTTCTCCTATTACTATTTCTCAGATGATACTGAGTCAGAAATCCTTCTAAAATAATTAAAATACACATTAATTACTGAAATGAAAACAATAAAAAATAAAAATAAAGTTTATTCAGCTGAAATAAAAATGAACAAATGTCCACAATATAAGATTGTTCAGACTGACAAGGGCTAATTTGTAAACCACTCTTTGTCAATAATTTTATTACAGGGTAATCAAGTCCTCTAACTTTAAAAACCTACAAAGTCCTAGACAGTGCCTATAACACTGACCTCTTTACCCTTGCTTTTTTATACCTTTTGCATTGATTCTAAGATGTCATGATTACAAAATATACCACTAACTTATGCCACACTATCAATTTTTAAATGTATTCCTAGTTCACATACATTAACATTTGAGCTTGAATCTCTGAATCGATGATCCACATAGTGAGACCTGATTAATTCTCACAACTAGATACAGAGGTTAACACCTTTTTTT